CTTTATACGGTAGAGGTTATAATCGAGGCCTCGCTCGCCGAATTTCATTAAATTCTTCAATATCTAATTTTAGTACAATGTCCGAAACATCTTTGCCATGGACTACTAAGGTAATCATAATAATTTTTTCTTTTATATAAAGTAACAATCACTCATTAATCTTTTAGGTAATTTTAATTGCATACTTTTTTTCTTTTTAGCAATTATCAAAAATTTGACTCAGTTAATCATATTCATTAAATTTTCTTGTCTTTTTTTTTTTTTTACCGATTCAATTTAATTGGCGTCGTCAAAAGGACATCGGGTTCAACGGTATTCTATAAACTGTCGGAGTAATTCATATCATTTTCCGATCTTGAATGTATGATCTGATCTTTGATAATGTTATGTAGCGATTTCTGGTGTACTAAATGATCCAAATACGAAAGCCTCAACTGCTGCCAGACCTACAAAGAACGATATTCCATCAGTACCTTCCACTATCATAAAAAAAGTAAAACCTGCCGATTTCAGTAGCTATCTTAAACAAATTACTCCTGTTTTTGAGAGGTACAATTATAACAAAGAATGTGGTGTAGAAAATTCGCAATCTATCAGGAAATCAACTTCTTCTTTCATCGAATCTCCTGTTGCTTCCACTACAAAAATCTTGGTAAATCTCGAGAATTTGCCAAACGTCGATTCTGAAATTCCTGCACACCGACTAGAGAGTACAAGAAATCCTTATTCCGTGCGTATGCCTCCTTTTTCTCCTGATGATGACCAGCCCTTAGAACCTGTAATCGATCTTCCATTACTAGAGACAGTCCCTTCAATATTTTTTGATCCTGACTTTAATCTAGAAAACCCTAGAACATTTGATCTTGTGTGTGAAAACACTGATATTATCGATGGTAACCCTAAGAATCCAACTATTTCGACAAACGCAATCCTTCAAGAAAAGCTTTCTCATTATCTTGATACGGTTGAAGTGCATCTTATTAAAGAAATTTCTCTACGATCATCTTCATTTTTCGAAGCTTTATCAAATCTTCAAGCTTTACATTCCGAAACATTAGAATGCATTTCTCAAATAAATAGTTTGCGTCAAAAATTAACACATATAGATGATTCTCAAGCTAAACAAGGGCTTGAAATTGTGAGGCTAAAACGGCGCCGTGCAAATATGGGTAAACTTTATGAGGGTTTAAGGATGGTCGCAGAAATTAGCTCAACTCAATCAGTAATACAGGCGTTATTGGGACAAGGTGATTATTTTTCTGCTTTGGATTTAATTGAGGAAGCAAATTCTATTTTGAATGGTGTTGAAAGTCAACGACCTCAATTGGAAGAGTTAATTAACGAGCAAAGCTTAAAAACTCCAATCTTATCAACAAATAATCATAGAATGATGATTGCTAATAGATTAAGTAATGTAACGGATGGGTTCAAAAGGTCTGGTACCATCGATTTAAGAGGAGTAAGAGCATTAATGTATTTTGGTGGGCAACTTGGTGACATGTACAAGTCAATCGGTGTAATGATGGAAAATGATCTGTTGAACATGTTGTTTATGGATTTTGAAGAACATGTTGAAAATGTGAACACTACAAATGCAATAAATATTCTTTGTAATGATAATAAGATTAATCATTCCGTAAAACATAGTACCCCTTCAATCAGTGCTATGAACGATCCTGTTGTAATAGATAAAGAAGAAAAGTTGAAAAAAAGAATAACGCCATTAGTTTTAGGCTTATACAGAATAAATCGATTCGCGTCTGCTTTGCAAGCATATCGCGAGAGGATGTTGGAGGAAGTCAAAAAAATGGTCCAAATTCAAAAGGTTTGTACTAAGATTTGAAAATATTTAGCTATTAAAATAATTAATTATTCATTTTGCGGAATTTCGTAATACAATAGCATTTTAAATCTTCAATGCCTCTCACAGAAGCTAAAGATGATCACTCAAGTTATTCATCAACGGAACGTAGGTAAAAATCATATTATTTCTTATCGATAAATGATATTTTTATGTTCAGATTTATAAATGTTAACTCGGCTTAATTCAGTTTGAAAGCTACAAAGTTATTGAAAGGAATGACTTTTGATGCTTTTTTAGACACGCTGTTGTCAATATATGCAATATTACTTGAAGGACTTAAGAGAATTGCAATTTATCATGAACTTTTCTCCGTTATTCTAGCTGATGCTCAAAAAATCAGTTGGGGACCTCAATTTGACCTATTAGAGAATGAAAAAGGTTCATCAAATAAGAACCTACAGGTAAACGATGATGATAAATCACAGAAAGAAACTGAAGCCAAAATTTCGGATATTAAAACTCAAACTGAGTCTAATACTGCTTCCGGAAATTCTAAAATCAGTACTGCTTTGAAAATTACTACTGGAATAAAATCAATAATACAAAAAACCCAATCTTTAGCATTAAAATCATCGACATCTTCACGGGATCCACAACCTAAAAAGCTAGAACCCATACCATCAACCCCTAAAGCAGAAATAAAATTTGATTCTAATAGTCAATACACACAGTTGGTATCCGATTCTTCACAAATAGTATTTGCTGTAGCAGATTTGGCACATGTACGATGTGCTAAATTGATGTCAGTTCGTGCAGATCAGAATGCTCAACTGAACCAAAAAGATTTTTATCGGTTATTCAATGTTACATGGGCATTCGTTTTGGAGTGCGAAAGTTTATGTGGGCGTATGTGTTATGGTCTGCGAGGAACAATAATTTCTCAGGTAATTAGTTACTTTCACTGAATTCTTTTCTTTTTTTCTTTTCTTTTTTTTTTTTTTTATAGTTTAATCTTATGATTATTCTTTTGGAAGGCCAAAGCATTTCTGAATCATTTTCATATGGAAAGGACAAAACAAGAGGCAACATTAGTTGAGAATGAACAATGGATACAAGCTGGCGTGCCCATTGATTTTCAGCGAATTGTAGATAAAATTATAGATGCCTCTACAAAAGGGTTATCGAATTTCAAGGACAGTCCATTAGACCATCTATCACCACCGGCTTCACCAGTATATCCACCTCCAGATGCCCAAATTAATTATAGCAATGACGTTGTCAACGGCACGAATGAAAAAGACCGTATTCAGAACAATTCTCCCGTGCAATCAAGTAACAGGCACATATTTGTCGAGGAACGGAAATTTTTTTTAGTTGGTTGCAGCTTACTACTACTAAAAATGATTGGTGATTATCTGAAATGTATGGTCAATATCCCAGTTTTGACCACTGAGACCATGAATAGGATTGTAGAAATTTTAAATGTTAGCATCCGAGAATCTTTATTTATATTCAATTCTTGATTGTTGAATTTATTAATTCTCTTTTATTTTATCAGTTGTTTAATTCAAAAACGTGCCAAGTTATTTTGGGAGCAGGTGCCATGCACTCTGCAGGATTAAAAAATATCACAGCAAAACATTTAGGTACACTTTAGTTCTCGTTTCTTTGTAAGTTGAAATTTACTCCATTTAACAATTATTTCATAATAGCACTTGCGTCTCAATCCCTTGGTGCTATGATTGCGTTGATACCGTATATTCGCGAATGCATTCGACACAATCTCAATTCCAAACAAGTGGTTATGTTAACAGAGTTCGATCGGATTAAAAGGGTATGTTTCCGGCAGTAAAGCAATTTAATCATATTATATTATAATGTCATAAATTCATGTTTTTAGGATTACATTAACCACCAAAGTGAAATACACGCTAAACTGGTATCAATTATGAATGACCGCCTGGTGGTTCATCTTAGATCTTTCCAGGTACCATTTTTAAACTTTACTCTGTCATATATTTATACAAGATACTAAACATACACAAATATAATAGTCAATGAACTGGGACGAATCAGGCGCCAAAGACGGTCCGAACCCTTATATGGAATCATTAGTTAAGGAAACTACAACTCTACATAAGGTTTTAAACAAATATCTTCCGCAGGAAATTCTGCAGGTAACTCGAGATAGCTATGTAATTTAATATCTTAAAAAGAGGATCGTTCAATTCTATATTAACGTTTATTTGCTTACTAGAACGTAATGTCAGATGTATTTAAATCGTCAAACACAAAGATTGCAGAAGAAATTGCTAAAGTGGATATTTATACACCTCTCGGGAAAGAACGGTAGGCTACACTTTAGCAATTAATGATATTTATTTGTTATATGATTTTAAAACCTTTCTGTACTTTAACTTAGAATTACCACAGACATACAATATTACATACGTAAATTAACGGCTTTAGAAGGACTTCAAGGGTCTACTAGTGATTTAGAGAATATAGTTAACAACTTGCCAATTAAAGAAAAGTTATCGAACGGAGATGAAACTACTAATATAACATCAGATAATTTGGATTGATACATATTAACATGTTACTAGTTTTGATAGACTATATAAAGGCTATTTTTAAAATAAAATTGTATAGTATATAATAAAAATATATTTACTTTCGCCAACTAGTTTAACTTAGAGTTGGTTTCACATATAGTTATGTTCCTAAATAAATGGCGGACAAACTCCATACTGAAACCTTAGGGCTTATTAAAAAAATGAATATTTCAGTTTGTAAAGTGCAGTTAGTGTATAAATTGAATTGTAAGCTCGACTTGGAGTTTATTAAATGTTCCTTTTTTATCCGGGTTCGGTCTAGAGAGAGTTTATTACTGAACATTCATATATACTGCCAGAATTAACATTAATTAACAAAGTATAGAACATGTTTCTCTAGTGTCAACACTGATTTCAATAATAACGATAGCAAAAACTAGACTATCAATGGTAGACTTAATCCTTTAATTTTACCACAAACGCTAACCTCACTACATTTATAAATAACTGTTAAAGGAAACAGTTCTACTACTACGAAATATCGTGGAGTAGAAGAAATATTAAATCTTTCCAGTTCGGTTCGAGTCCGCGGAACACTAATAGTGTATAGTACAATTCAATCTTCACTACAGCTTATACGTAACGAAAATACTATGTACTTCACCGTATCGAGTTGAAGTTTAATAATTCAATCACTATGTCGAGAGTTCATGTTGTATATGCAAAATTTAATAATTTTGCATAATTTGGCCATCTCGGAAGTATCCTTATGTCAAGCAGGTTCTGAGGTAACTTCCGAGCTCCGACCTTTAAGTAAAAGTTTTCATCGCATTTCATTTCAAAATACCAAATACATAGCAGATAGGGAAATTTTGATATATTCCGAGCAAAAGTTTTTAGGTTGAATGTCCGGAATTTGTTCGACGTACACCCTAGTGTTACCCTAGTGTCCGAATTAGGGCTGTAAACCAAACTATTTGGGACGACCCAAACTATGTGACAATTAGTTTCACATAGTTTTGACAATAAGTAA